TATATATATATATACACGGGGAAAAATCCTTTTCATACTTCAATTTCAATAAAATTAAACAATAGCGTAAGGAATCTAAATTCACTCAAAAAAAGATGGAAACTTTATTAATAGTATGTTATATGTATATTATACATACGAAAATACAAATGTACAAACAAATAAGTGTTGGAAGTGCTGTTTATAACTCTAAAGCATATAAACGTTAACGACAATATCATTATCATAAAAAATTAAATAATAAACGTAAAGAAAGCTTGAATTAAACTTAGAACTATTGTAAAAAGGACGACTTGAGTAATTGAAATCAGAAATCGTATCAAGTTTTCAGTTACTAGAAATTTAAATTGCGGAGCACTTGTGGTTAAAACTTCATAAAATTGATAGAAATTTTCGTTATAATTGTAAATTTCTGTTTTATGAAAAAATCCAAGTTTAACTGTCCAACTTTTTATATTTAATTTTGACATAAAATTTAATTCAATATTTTAAATACTAGTAATACTCATAAAATTAAGGTCTCGAAGGGATTCTTATAGCAATGGATAAATAGTGATGATTTTTTAAAGAAAAAATATGAGATAAAAAATTCGGAAAAAAAATTACTTAAAATTGCGATAACTTTTGAACAAATTACAATTTGAAACAAAACTTGCATTAACATTAAAAAAGGGCCTTTCAGCAAGACAAAAACAAATTCTACAGGATATAAAGCAGCTCGCATGGTATTTTTACAAGTTCAGATATTAATTCTCGAATAAAATATCTAACGTTAAATTTTATCTATTATAGCGCAGGTCCTGTACATTTTTTACATACTCACATAATCGTTAATTTACTCCAGTAAATTATTTATTCCAAATTATTCATTATTCATCTTATTCTCGTAAATTTAGACAAGCGCATTTAATTTTTCATATTTATTTGTAGTTTTAAATTAGAAGATATTGAATCTGTTGATAATTCATGCAAAGTGACTTAAGTTATTTCGGATTACGTGTGAAGTTTTAATGTTGATATTAAAAATCTATCTTTAGGAATGTTTCTAAAAATATTTTTCAAAATAAAATAAAATAAAATAATTTTTCGTTGTTATTTTCTGGCTTTGGATTATTCGGCGAAGCTTTTAAAAAACTAAGACTGTCAGACAAACCTCTTCAAAGAAATGTATCAAAAATTTATTTGCTTTTGTATCCTAGGAATAATTAGGACATCAACAATTCCCTTCTTTTCGCCAAATTTTAATGTAAGTATAAATCTTACTTTTAGCCTGTTCTTGTTGTCTTTGCAATTGGCATGCAGTTTGAGCTCCAATTACCATAGCAACGAGACAGGAGAATAAAGCCAAGACAGAGAAAACCTTCATGATTTATTTTTCTGGAAAAAAACATGTTCTATATTTTGTTGTTATAATAAAACAATTTTGAAATACTGAAGTAAAGTCTATATATTAAACAAACATTACTTCATAAATGTTTATATAAGAATTTTTTAATAAATTATATAAAAACTAGAGAAGGACAGATTCTCTTATCAATCATATTCTTTGATCAATATACAAGGGATTCCATTAACTGAAAAAAGTATAGTGAAAGCTACAAAATTTTGTTAGTAATTAACGTGTAAAAGCACGTCACATTTTACCAAAATGGTTCTGACTTTTGTAAAATAAACAGTGAAATATGCTTTTAAAATGTGTGATAAACTTTGGTAAATTCAGTAAAATTTCGAAATTTTATCATGATACCTATAGAGCATGGCAAAAGGCCTATTTTTTCGGTTAAATTTGCTTTACAGTTTTGTATTTTTTAGTGAATGCGTGGTAATAAAAACTATAATTGCGAAAATCAAAGTTTCGGTAAACAATTACCATACGAAAGGAAAACATTATCAAATAAATGTCTTAAATACCGTCTATTTTGGGTTTTAGTACCAGAATTATGATTTGTCTTTTGACCAGAAATGTCCTTACGATGCAGTACGTTTGTTCCAGAACAATTTACTACGTGTAATGATTTCTCTTATGTTCTTAGAATCCATTTTGAGAATGAAGTATACACATTAGAGGTTTAAAATAATTGCTTGATCCAAGAAAATAGAAAAATAATAGGAGAATTGAAATCCATCAAATCACTAGGTAGGAAGACGTAACTGAATATTTTTAAAACTTGTTTGATTGCCGGAGAAACTGAGAGGAGTTGAAGGGTGGTTATAAGAAGCATCTCCAGGTTTAATTAGTCAATGACATAGGTTTTGATGTTCATCAGACGTAGAAATTAGTGACCATTCATAGCTAAACTGTTTGTACGAATTTTATTGGAAGAAAAAAAATTTGCAGGGTGTTTCGCAATGACCACCATTAATATATAATCTTGAAAACCTTCTAAGGACTTGAGTAATAAAATTACATGTATGAAAAAACTTACATTTTAGAAAGAAAAAAATTGAAATGCTCTTTAAATGCGTTAGATCACTAGCGAGAAAGGTGGGACGAAAGGATCAATCTCCTGCCTAATTCCTGCGAAAATCAAACAGGTTTGTATGTCTTTCGCCCGACCTCTCTGACTAGTAATACAGCATCTTCGTAATACAGCATCTTCATATATCTTTTTTTTCTCCTCAGCTCAAATAATATTTACTAATTGGAATATAATTTTTTTGCTAAAGATTTCAAACGTACATACTAAGAGCAGCTATTATAAAACGCACCATAAGTGTCAACAACTACCGTTTTACTTATGTTATATGTTCTTTTTCAGCTGATTTGTTTTTCTAAGGTTAAAATAAGAAAAAAAAAAATTCCATTCAAAATTGATTTACAGATAAGCTTAAAAACAAACAAAGGGGTTCATTTCTTTAAAGTAGTATAATTCATACAATTCAAAGTAATTCATACAAATTACAAAAGTAATATTATCCATACTGTAAAAAACACTTATATATAAGATTTTACTTAATTTTATTTCAAAATCAGAAATCTATACGGGATGTTACAACTTGATAATATATCTAGATTTTGACATATTAGAAAAAATGGAGTCACGAATGCTAAGGTTGGCAGTTTTAGGGACAGCAAATAACATAAAAGAAAACGATAACAGATAATATGAACAAAAACAAATATAATTTTTTTCAACATGCAGTGTAATTATAAAATAACTTTGCTAACAAATGACTCAATGGATACCATTGAGTGAACGAAATAAAATTTTGTGCATAAGTAATATGATTTATATGCTCAAGAATGATTTTTAAAACAATTTCAAAACGAAGAATACGGTTACAGTGACAAAGTTTTAAAACTTCCAAACGACAACACATATTTTTTAATCGAAATATAATCCTTACAATAAGAAACCTAAAACTGAGTTAGAACGATACTTTTAATAAAAGAAATGGCAACGATAGGCTTTTGCCAAGCATCGTTATTTTCGCATATTTTTGTTTAATTACCAGAAATGTCTTTACTAAACAAGTATGGAAATTTTTACCAGAATTCTTTTCTCTCTGTAGCTATTCTATTTTCTTATAACTCTGTGTGCATACAATGAATTCTAAATTAAATTTTAACAAAGTAACCAATCAATAAATAGCTTGCTGATTGTCAATAATTTATCTGCTTACATTTTGCTAAAAATAGTTAAGATTTATAAAATATTTTGATATGTGGTAAATATTCAATATAATATAAAGACTTACCAAAATACACGATAAAACGTTATAAAAGATTTTTATGCACTGCTTGAAATGTGATGTGAATTGAAACTTTTCTGAGACTTTATATATTCACTGAAATAGTTATAATTTGTCAGTTTAAATGCTAATAAAATATTATTATTACACTGAATAGTCATTATTATTTTACTAGCATAACTTTTATCAAATTGTCTTTATTAGCGTCTGTAAGACATAGGCATGTACTTCTCCTTGCTTATTCATCTGATTGGCCCATAAGAAATATTAAATCATTTCGTTAAAGTTTGTAAAGAAAATTTATGAAGCAGATAAATTTTTTTAGGACAGCAGAGAATGATTTTCCCAAAATAGAATTTTATTTTTTGCATAAAGACTATTTATGATTTCATTTATTTCAATTAAGAGATATTAATAGAGAAATTAATTAATAATATTGAAAACTTATTCAAAATTTTATGATTTTGAAATTAAATGAAGGGTTAGTCAGACAGCCTTTGTGTAAAAACATAACACAACTTAATAGAAACGAAAAGTAAAATAAGAAATATTTATAGACATTATATATTTTTTTTATGACATCTTTTGTATTGTGATATCATGGAATCTATGAAGTCTTCTTGTATTTTGCGATATCATGGAATACTATTGATTTATCAATTAACCTTTTACAGAGCGACTCTTTTTCAAGTAATGTTAGGTTAAAATAATTTTAGGATCAATATTTATATGTAAAAAGAGATTAATTTAATTTTTTACTTAAAACTAATTTGATTTTTAGGATCATTTTTTGGTGAGAAGGTGGTTGAAGAATTTTTAAAATTTCGCCAACTGCAAAGAACTGGTCTTAAATTTGAACTTCTGTGCTTATTTATAAATTCTGTGATTCTAAATCCAATGAGAAATGATCAAATGTACTATGTATCAAAATATTTTTTTAAATTATACTTACCGTAAAGAACTAGCCATAAATTTGAACTTCTGTGCTTATTTATGAATTCTGTGATTCGAAATCCAATGAGAATGATCAAATGTACTATGTATCAATGTACTTTTTTAAATTTTACTTACTGTAAAGAACTAGCCATAAATTTGCACTTCTGTGCTTATTTATAAATTCTGTGATTCTAAATCCAATGAGAAATGATCAAATGTACTGTGTATCAATGTATTTTTTTCTAAAAGTTTAATTACTGATAAGAACTAGCCATAAATTTGAACTTCCTTGCTTATTTATAAAGTCTGTGATTATGAATACAACTAAAGTCGTTAAGAAATGTTAAAATGTACTGTGCATCAATGTATTTTTTTTCTAAAATTTTTAATTACTGTTAAAAACTAGCAGTAAACTACTTGAACTTCTGTGCTTATTTAAAAATTTTCTGTTTGAAAATACAAACAAACTAGATGAGAAATGATCAAATGTACTGTGTATTAATGTATTTTTTTAAAAATTTTTAATTGCTCTCAAGAACTAGCCATAAACTTAAACTTCTGCGCTTATTTAAAAATTCTGTGTTTTTAAATACATTTAAACTCGATGATAAATGATCAACTGTACTGTGAATCTATGTATTTTTTTTTTCTAAAATTTTTAATTACTGTTAAGAACTAGCAGTAAACTACTTGAACTTCTGTGCTAATTTATAAATTTTCTGTTTACATATACAAACAAACTAGATGAGAAATGATCAAATGTACTGCGTATCAATGTATTTTTTAATTTTTTTTAAATTGCTCTAAAGAACTAGCCATAAACTTGAACTTCTGTACTTATTTATAATTTCTGTGTTTATAAATGAAAGTAAACTCGATGAGAAATAATCTAAGGTGCAAACGTACAAGAGAGAACAACTTCTTGTATCTGTCTCTCCTCTCTTTTCGGCCCCACGTAACTTTTACTGTTACTCACATTCATATAAACAAAAAACCTCTTCATTGGTATTTGAAGTTATCAATAAACAGCCGCACAAGTCATGAGTGGAAAAATAGCGTCTCATTGCCATAAAAATAATATTGAATTCGGTGGGAAGTTCATTTTCCACGGCGTTATGAAGTATTAAACATAATGTTCCATAATCACTGCCCGTAATGCATATTTTCAGACCTTCTTTATGCATATTTTTAGATTATTTACTTTCGGAAATCAGCTAGTCCGTCTGTTTAATTAAGTAGAATTTCAAGTACTCTGATGTTTAGAATCGTACAGTCATGACAATATGTAATAAACACTTTTTTTGCTGAAGTTAGAGTCGATTTAATTTCTGTCTCTTACATGCTCGTATGGTATCGTGGGAATAGCGAATTCGTTATTAAAATGTTAAGTACAATATATGCTAACACTAAAAAATGAAAGAAAAGAAACAAGCTAGTTTTCTAAACGGCATTTTTGATGGATATAAAATTAAAATTGCAACTTTGTAAATACCAACTTATGTGCTATTATTAACTATGCGAGTCAATGAATTTCATTTGTGTTTTTTCGCAAAAACGAAACGAACTTTAGCAGTTATAAATTCCTTTAAGCTAAAACAGTAAACAATACCTTTTAAAGAAAAAATAAACTTTGCTGTTTTTCCATGTCAGAAAATGTTTTAATCTAAAACAATGGTTTTCATTAATTTGAAGCCACGTAGCGTTGGAAAGAGGTGGTTTTTTATATACCAACACTTAAAAATGTGCAAACTGCTAAAAAAAAAACACGATTTAAATCGGTACTTTTTTTGTTCTCGAGTTATTAGCGAACACACAACCAGACTGACTATCGCTTTTATATATA